CTTGTAAACAGAGTGAATACTAGTAGAAACATGTGATCATCTATACTGAAGGAAGGAAAGTTTCAAGGAACACTGTTTTAACAAAATAAATGTTACTGGGACACAACACACCATCGCATCTTCAATCAAGAAAACTTTCGAGCCCATAAAAGGTAACAAGGGCCCCCGAAAACTCCAGCCTAGGTGTCAGGATGGGGCTAGTGACTGATCATCATTAATTGCCTAAAAGTTCTTTAATCTCTAATGTTGTGTCAAAGATCAGATCAAACTAGAATGAAAACAACAAATCTGGGCAGAAAGTAACTAGAAAAAGAACATAAAATTTAAGGCAATCTAAAATTTTGTGCAGGAACAACTCATTACCAGATCTTAGTTCCTTCTCATCCTTTTCTCCTACCTAAGGAAAGATGTCTTTTTCTTGAGAATTTTCAGAGAGCTGATAGTTTTATATACTTGTAGGAAAAATCATTTTCTTTTTTTTTGTTGGAGGCTGGCCAGGACAGGGATCTGAACCCATGACCTTGGTGTTGCAAGTCTGCGCTCTAACCAACTAAACTAACCCATCATCCCGGAAAAAAAATCACTTTATTTAAATTTTAAAAAAAAAGAATACTGCCCATTTGAAGATTTGCATTAACATTAAACGTAAGACAATTCTTATGCTATTCCAAAGCAAGATTTAACATTCTCTTCATACTTTTAGCATATATCAACCAAAGTCAGACTTGAAGTTTTGAAGAACAGTAAGTCCACCTATAGTACAACGTGGAATCAGCAACAAGAAAACCACAATTTTTGAGGATACGTGGCACTCTGAAAATGCAATATCCAAAATTGTGCCTATCAAAAATTGAATCTATTTTTTTCATAGAAATATTTTATTTGAAAGTTTAAAATTCTTCTTTGCACATGGAAAATGTTTAAATTCATAAGGCATAAACAGTAACAAAAATGATACCTGTGACATTTTATATCCAGACACTAAAATTTTAAGGATTCACTCAGAATGTGTTTGAATTTCTAAAATCTGATTAAGACCAGTCTTGTTTTTTTTCTTCAGTGCTTTAAGTTTTTGGTTTTGAGTAAACGAGAATGTAATAGTAGAAATCAGAACAGTTAATATCTTATTTCTGATGGTACTTATAATCTTGTTTCTTTCTAAATTAATTTTTTAAAATTCTTCCTTTACTTTTCTTTAACACAAAATTTAAAACATACTGAACAGAGTTTGTTTCTTGCTTTTTCCATCAAACATTTTCTCACGTCTTTACAAATTCCCCCAAACATAATTTTCAATGCCTAGTACATACGAATTCTATGGTAATATCATTTAACTGTTTTTTGCTTAGGGGATTTTAAATTGTTTCCAATCTTTTGCTTTTATGCTGGAATGAAAATTCTCATGTATAATTATGTTTGCATCTCAGGTTATTTAGGATAAATTTCTAAAGTTAATTTACTTGTTCAAATAGTAAGAACATTCGTATAGTTATACATATTAACAAATTGCTTTCCATAAAACTTATGAAATTTTTACTTCCATCACCATTTGAGAACGCCAATTCACTGCATACTCAAAAACAGACTTTCTTTTTTCAAAATCTATATTAAATATTAAAATAATATCTCACTACTTTAATTCACATATTTATTAGTGACAATTTTTAACATTTACTTAGAATTCTGCCTTTCGAATTGTCTGTTTAAACTTATCAATATTTCCCTTGTAGTTTTTGTCTTTTTCATGTTAAATTACAACTCAATACAAAAGCATATAATCCTTGTTTGACATCCAGAAATGTTAAATTTTTTTGTTGTTCAACCAATCAACCTTTCCCACCATTATTTCCCCATTGTTTTTATGCTCAGAAAACCCTTTCCCATTTCAACATAACTACTGACTTTTTTTTTCCCAGTTCTTTTGTTTCATTTTGACATCTATATTTTTAAAACATCTGGACTTTATTTTTGGTATGGAATGAGAGTGATGATTTAATATGTGGTAGCATGAGAGCCCATTAATCATTATTTCCAAGATTTTCCTGACTACTTTTCCAGAATACCTTTCAAAATCACTTTGTCATGTCCCTTCCCCACCCCCATCTCATTTAGATTCTTACTGAAATTACATTAAACTATAAATAAAAATCAGGAAGAATGTATAAAAGAATGCTGAGTACTGGTGCTATCAAGCCTCCTTATCTTGGGTCTGATTGTCACAGAAATACTTTCAGTATTATATTTGTTTAGCAATACATTAGTTTTTTGTTTCAAACAGGAACATTTTTGAATGTATTAGGAGAAATCACCTTCTCTTTATATTACCAAATCTTTAACTGAATATAAATTTTGTATTTTGTCAAATGCTTTTGCAACATCTTTTTGGGATTACATATGTCTGCCATTATGCTTTATCCTATAGATCTCATGTATAAAGAGGTTTCTTAATAGTAAGTCATCCTTTAACTGCTGTTGTAAGTCCTACTTATCACACTATATTATTCTGAATATGTTCATGATTTTGAGTTGCTTGTGCTTTAATCAACATTTCTGCATTTCCATTCTGGAGCTTTTTTGGAGATAATATTTTGGATAACTATTAAAATTTCAATGGTTACTATGTCAATTAGATTCTCAGTTTCTTTATTTCACTTATATTTTCCCTGTCATTCATTTGTAGATTTCTGAATATGAGTCCTAATTTTTAAAATCTCATTTTCATTTATGGTTTATGTGCTTTTTTCTAATTTGGACATTCATTTTTCCTTTGGTTAGATAAATTAAATATTTGTCTCTATAACTCCTATCTTTTCTGTGCCATCAAGAATCAACTATTTGATTTATCAAATCTTTTTTTTTTTTTTTTTTTTTTTTTTTTTTTTTTTTTTTTTCG